GGTTTATGTCATGTAGAATTTAAAGTTGAAAAGTGGAAAAGGAAAACCAAATAGTGTTGTTATTTCATTTGAAGATAGTCATTCATATGATTAATGGATAATTGAAAACCCTAATGAAGAAAATATGCAAACTAAAGTAAATGTTGAGTAAGATGATGTTATTGTTAATAATATTATGGAAGTTGGTGTTGCTGTAACTAATATTGTGCAAAGTGGTGGTGGTGGCAATGTTAAATTAGATGGAAGTGGAAATTCAACTAATCCAACATTGATTAGTAATGAAGAAGGTGTTTCATGTGGGGCAGAGTTTGACGATGATACTCAAGATACCGGTAAAAATGATGGTGATTATATTGGTGGTGGTGATTTCACTAGAGCTTTGGATGTTTGAAGCTATTATCATATCTTTTTTTTACTTGATGTAGTAATCAATTAAGAAGAAATTAGTAATTTAAGTATTTAACTACATACTTTGCACACAAAAAATTGTTTTATTATCGAGTTTTTTTGTTAAGAAATTTGTTATAGATTATGAAATTTAAATTTTCATGTTAATTGGTGTTCTACTATATATTTGTGTCATATACGAGACATTTATAAGTTTAAAAATATAGGAGTGTGTCATATATGTGCCAATTATAGGTTTTTGAAAGTCACTTTTAATTTTTCATAGACTCGTACGAGTTTGCGAGTCGAGTCTATAAAATCTTAACGAGTTTGAGTAGATTCATGAGTTTGACAACCTTGGTCAACATGAGATACCGAACAATTAAAGGATGGACCCATATCTATGGGAGCATTCTTCACACTAATCGCACTACCAAAGAATAAGGAGGTCCCCAATAATTCAGGATCCACTCAGCGGTACTGATCAACATTGTACGACTCTACAAGGTCTTCACGCTCCTGTCAAATAATGTTTGTCCAATTGTCATAAAAAAGATTACGCTCATCATGTACTCGAGAATGACTTTGAAAATTATTGTGATCCCTAATATCTATATCACTAGGGTCTCAGTCATCAATCAACCTTAAGGTTCTAATATATAAAAAAAATCATCCATTCCTCACAGGTGACGCCAAAAGATTCAAAATCTACAATAGGCATATCGGAAGAAGAAGGTCCATCATTTACATCATATACAATAGTACTACCGTAATCCATTCATTTTCTCTCTTTAGAAGAATTTTTAGTGATATCATTAAAATATGCACTAAAGGATCAACATTTAGCATATAAGGATGTTATGTTTCAATGGATGATGAAGAACCACCTTCACCATGGATGTTTAACATTTTTACAAGTACGTTTTCTAGGTTGGCCATAGAAAAGACGAAAAAATGAAGAAACAAAATACAAATAAAAGGGCTAAAAATGGTACCCAAAGAAAAATGTGAATTGAAGAAACAGTTATAAGAAGAAAATAAACTTAGAGATGAAGATGAATAATGAAATGTAAAACACACACACAAGTACGCGCGCGCGTGCGTGCACACACACACACACACAGATATGTGTGTGTTGTGTGTGTGTGTGTGTGTGTGTGTGTGTGTGTGTGTGTGTGTGTGCGTGCGTGCGTGCGTGCGTGCGTGCGTGCGTACGTGCGTGCGTGTGTGCGTGTGTGTGTGTGTGTGTGTGTGTGTGTGTGTGTGTGTGTGTGTGTGTGTGTGTGTGTGTGTGTGTGTGTGTGTGTGTGTGTGTGTGTGTGTGTGTGTGTGTGTGTGTGTGTGAGACAAAACTAAAGACTGCTAGAGCTCTAAAATGAAGACCAAAGTTTGGGTGAAAAAAATTCGGACTCGACCGCCCTCACCTTGAATCTAACAGGGAAAAACTTAATTAATTGGGGGCGGGGCGGAGAAAATCCAATTTTGAATTATGAGGGTAGGGGATGCTAGTACCCTCCCTGCACCCATCACTTCTCTGCCTCTGCCCATTAAATTTAATTTAGTACCCTTATTTTTTTATTTTATTACCCATTTGCCCTTTTTAATCTTAAAATATTAAGTTTATTATAATTATTATTAATTTTTCTTTAATACAAATTAAATGAAAATGATCAAGTATTATGATTATTCTTAAAACAAACAAGTATTAATGTAATTATTGATTTTTGTTAATATGAAGAAAAAAATGCATTAAAAAAATTATTATTTATGCAGGTGGGACGGGACGGAGCAAAAATGTTTGTTCCTCGTTAGTGGTAGGGGGTCAATTGTTAACCCCAATTGGATCTGGGGTGGGGGCAGGACTGATACAGTGAGACGGAGGTGGGGTTGTAATGCTTAAGTATGTCTGCCCCGCTTCGTTATCATGCTTATCTAGGGCACCTCAACCAACCTTTGTATATAAGAGATCCCATATGGATAAAGTTAAGATTTCAAATACATTCTCACTCTCATATCACATTGCATTCTTCCATTAACTTGAGTGTTAAATGCTAACCTTATATTTCAGCTCATTTTCTGTCATACTGAAAGTTTACTCTATCATATCAAACAATGTTTTAAAAATCAGACTGGTCATCGAACCGGTGAGGATGTTGGGCCACTGGTCAAATCGCATGACTAAATTGGACAAAATCAGAAAACTCGGTTGAATAAATCTGTCACTATAACAAAATTATATAAGTATTAAACCGGTCGAACAGGATGACTCGATGTCAAAAGATATCACTAACACCTAAAAAATTTAAAAATATCGTAATTTCACAAGTTTATAATTTAAATTCAAATTTGAATCAACTAATTGATTTAAAAATATAATCAAAGTATCAATCTCAAATATAAACTTATGATTGTTATATATCAAACATACATTACCATTTACTTTATGCAACACCTCACTCCAACTAATATAAACCAGTAATATCAATCACATAGGAGAGAAAATAGAGTATGTTCAAATTTTGCAACCTATAAATGCTATAATACTTCAATAGCCTTTATTTACTATATTTAACACTATCACCAATTTTTAAAGAAAAAAATATCCACTTTCTTTTATATTTTTATTTTTTTTAAATAATGAAAAACATTCTCTTATATTTTTATTTTTTTAAAATAATGAAAAACGACGTCGTTATAATTTATATAGAAACGCACTTAAACCGTCGATTTTCAAAACTGTCAGTTTTTCGGATTTTATCGATTCAATTACATATTTGATCTAATAATTGAAGTCGATTATCAATCTGATTCTCAGTCCAATTGATCCCACTGACCAATTCGGTCCGGTTCTATGGTATCAAAGTTCAACTTACCGTTCACCCGAATAATTTTAGTTCTACCAACGGAACAAATGTTAACTAACATACAAACAAAAAGAAAAAAGCAGAAGAAAAAATAAAATAAGACGTGAGAAGTATGCAAGCACACACATGAAAAGGGGAGCAGTCATAAAATTTTAAGAAAGACGTCGCTCCTCTTTGCCTAGAACTATGTTGTTAACAAAAGCTTTCCACGTATATGATAGAAATCTGTGCCACGAGGCGCGTGTCAAAGAAAAAATTGGCTTAACAAAAATTTGATGCGGTAAGACATCTACCACTAACTGTTAGTAACTACGATTAACGTATGTCTTATTTTCTCAATTCTATTTTTTTGACAAAAATTATTTGTGGTTGTTAACATAAAACCGTTATTTAAATGATTTGAAGTCACATGCAAAAAGAAAATGCAATAAGTACTACATTAATATAAGTTAGAGTTATAAATTCATATTTCATAGTGTGGTCTAATTTATTAGAAAGAGGGAAACACAAGCACGACACAAGAAGCAAATCCTATCCTCTATCCTATTATCCTAACTCCAAAGTTGAATGATAACCAAAATAATAAGTAGGTCAAGTCAAGGTTACTTAAAAAGAAGGGTTTTGACCATGCATTAACACCACTACTTGACAAAACTGCTACTACTATAACTACATTATGGAAACTAGATTGTGTAAACCTACTCATTCTACACTTTAATAAAATTTCATAAATAAAAAGCTGCTTCATAAAATATGATTATACTTTGTTATATAAAAAGTTAAATAAAGTTCACCCAATATTTTAATTAAATTGAAAGTTTATATATGAATCCGAAGAGTGTGATTTTTTTGGAGTTTTCTGCATGGACAAGACCAAAAAGTGTTTTATGTTTATTGTAAGGTAATTATACTTTCAAAAAGGCACTAGTTGATTATTGGAATACTAAAATACATGAGGAAAATTAAAAGTGTCGCATTGCATAATATGTAAAAAATAATAAAGTTGTCCATTCATCCCACCCAGCTGATTTGGTGACCACTATACAAGTGTCAATACAGCCCATGCTGGATTTTGCCCCACCAGACCCTATGTTATTGAACCATTCTATTCAAGATTAAACTTTTAGCTTTCCTTTATTGACACATCCCCAAGATAGCTTTTTCTTATTAAGGAAATGAAAATAACTTACCACTTGTGTTAAAAACTAATTTAACTATAATTTTCATCTAAAAAATAACACGCATGCTCATATTGTGATAGTCATTTATTCAATAAACCCCGGGAAAATATCACTCACTAGAATTCCGTTTTCAAACTCAAATCACAGTTAGTGCACATTACTGTCTAGCACTATATGTATATATAAGATAATACAATCTCCAAGCTTTCTGCTAATAATTGAACAATGTTCTTTTTCAATGCCACAAGAGAACAACATTAGGCTACAGAAAGTAAGTGTGCAACTGACACGTTGGATTTATTGAGGTATGAAGTCATAGCCACGCCTTTCACAACTTGACATGACTATAAACATAATAGTTGTATACAAGCCCAAGTATCACCCAAATTCTCGACAAATTTACAGTTTTTGGTGATTGGATATTATGAATCAAAATTTACATAAAGTTTCATTTTCTATCACACAGTAAAAATCGTCTATTTTTCAACTAATTGTGGAACAATCCACTTAAGAGGAGACAAAAAAAATCTAGATTAAGCAACTTCCTGTTTACGAGCTTTTGAGGTTTTCAATCAAATTCTAGCACCACTTTACCTTGAATGATTCTCCTGTCTTTTGCATCGTGAGCTTCTTTTACTTGCGTTATGGGAAACGTTTTATCAACAGGTATCTTCATCTTCCCTGCTTCACATAGCTTTCGAATCTCAATCAAACCGTCTAAGTCAGCCCTCATGAATACCCACGAGTATTCTGTATAACAAGGAAAGAGAGGATTAGGTTTCACTTTTTTTAAAAGAAAAACACAATACACAGACAATTTCTACCTATTTCATTTACAAGTCTGTATTCAAGCTGTTTTTTCCATAAAAAAGCTGTGGCTGCAGGAAGCCCAAGAGCCAGACCAAAGGTATCAGACAATGAAGCTGCTTCACCCTTCAAGGTAAGAGAAAAAGAATGATTAAAGCACATATATCACTTACTTGAAAAAATCTCTAACAGGCCATTCTGGCAATTGATCATGAGAACATAACAAGAGTGTCGGATATGAAAATGCAACAAACTTTAACGTCCTACCTGAAGTGTCATATAATATCCGCCTTTTTTCAGAAAATCAATGCTCATATGTTCTGTCTCTGGCTCACCAATTGTGTCCAAGACAGCATCAAACTTTCCCTTTATAGCCAATTCATAACCCTGCTAATCAAGAATGAAGTTAAGTCATATCGTATAATGCAAGATGCACTTCCATGAAGAAAACATAAGCTTAAAAGATCAAATTATCTTAGTATTATGATCATATATCTGAACTTTCAGTTTTTAGTTGGTTAGATTTGTTTCAATCGGGTATGCTAGTTGCTAGTGTTGTTTAGCCAGTTCAAGTGTTGTTATCAGATCGTGTTTTTGAAAACCAATGGAGTCTACTATGGTGCTTTGAATAACATTGTCATTGTAATATCTAGCCTAATGTTTGGAAATATGATACAAAAGAAAATTCAAAACCACCTCAGAAAGATAATCAACAGCTTGCTCAGCACCAGCTGCTAACATTCGCTCAACGCTTTGAGGTCCACAAGTAGTTGTGACCGAGCAACCAGCCGCTACTGCAATCTGAATAGCAGTAAACCCTACAGCTCCTCCACCTCCCACTACTAATATCCTTTGACTGTTTGAGATACGCTAAGAGTAATAAGTGAGTGAAAGAAGAGAATTTTTATCAAAGCTAAACACTTAGTGGGTGATAAAAAAACACCCCAAAAAATGAAAACTCTAATGTATAGAAAATGATGATATGTAAGACAGAAAAAATCCTTTTTGAGGATGGAAATCATATCTCAGCGACATAAACATACCCTTCAGTTATTCTAGCAGTACCACTCAGAGCACGCCAAGCTGTCAATGCAGCAAAAGGAATGGCACTTGCTTCCTACCAGATGAAAAATTAAGAAAAAGCATTCCTTCATCCAAAGTAAATAAAGGGGGAGAATTCATGGTCGATTGTTCAATTAGAAAGCACTAATAATATTGTACAGTAACATGTAATAAGGGCAGTGATGGCAAAACTAATGAATTGGACATAACTAGTCAGAGATTTTTGCTATATCTTTCAGATTTAAGAGTCAATCGAGTGAACAAGAAATTAGCACAACATTGAAGAATAATAGTATAATACAATATGAAGTTGAAGAATATTCTATAAGACTATAACACATACAGTTCGAAATCATTTTACTCCATAAAACATAACCACTAGTCCAGTAGGAAGTTGCTTGACACAATATGATAATCTAGATATAGAAATAAAACTTGGAAATATCAGAGGGCATCGAAATATAATTGAGATGAGAGGACTCTAAACATTGAACTCAATAGACTTAAACTCCATCCAAATCAAGCTTAGTCAAGAAGCACTTCTAGAAAAATAAATTTCAAAAGAATGTTGCAATAGTTTAAGGTTTTCACGTCACAATTTCTCACAAACTGTATCACTTAACTTGTCTACAAACTACTACAACCTCACACCAACTTTTCTATAAGTAAAGAACTTCAAACATTGTTTATTCAAGAAACTTCTATAAGCTAGAAATCTCATCCAAACTGAACCTTAGCTAACTGAACCTTAAATATAAATGTGTTCCTCATAACAAGATAATTTCTAGAATTGCAATGAATAACAAGAAAGCATAAAATTAGAACATTCCAAAATTTGAAGAACACATACCACATGAGAAAGTGAATCTGGTTTTACAGTAACCTCATCTTGAGAAAGAATTGCATAGTCAGCATAAGTCCCTCTAATAGCAGTCGGATGCAAAGCCCCAAAAACCTGCTGTCCAACACTCACCGACTTGACCGAATCCCCAACCGCCGCCACCTCGCCGCTTACATCACGGCCCAAAATCAAAGGCAGAAGCGGCTCAAAGATTGAACGGCCATAACCAGCACGCATCTGCAAAGCCAAAACAGTGTTAAGTTAAGAAAGAAAGAAGAAAGATTGAGGAATTATGCAAGAAAGAAAGAAACTGACTCGAGTGTCTAGAGGATTGACAGAAACAGCGCGAGAGCGGACGAGGACTTCGTGAGGTTTGAGAGGAGGGACTTCAACGTCGGGTTGAATGTGGAGGTTATGAGTTCCGCCGAAGGAGGTGAGGAGAACGGCTCGGCAGGTGGAGACGTGGCGGGAACCGGAGGAGTAATGTGTGATGAGGGTTCGGAATCGGTGGTTGATCGGAATTCGCATCTTGTTAGGTGTTGGAGTGTTGAAGAGAGTGAGTGAGAAAGAGAGAAAGAGAGAAAGAGAGAGAAGGAACGTGTATGTGTTATGATCCGCAGAAAGAGAGAGAAAAATGAAAGACTTGATGTTGAGGTGGCTTCTTTTAAACGTTTTTTGATTATTTAATGGCGCTTCTTAGTCGTTGCTACTCTCTACTGCTCCTTTTTGTTGAAAAATCAGTTATGCAATTACACATGAATTAATAATTTTTTTATAATTTATTGGAGGTTTTAAACTTTTAATATTACATGATTTTCTCCCCAATCTCACAAGTGATATTGAGGTTGCAAGTTAGGAATTTCTTGTTGCTTTTAGGATAGTCATATATATCAATCCCCTCCAATTATTGCTATAATTATCACTGTATAGACTATAGAAATCAATGAGATTATGAATAAAATCCAAGATGTTGAAATTTACATCTTTGTTCTAAAGTAAAGCTAACCCACTAGCTTTCCCATTCTAGTTATTGTTAGAACTAACACGGTGAATGTTTATTAACTTACCAACATTCAACAATCTATGGTAGATAGGATTACTATTTTTTTTTTTCACATAAAAAAATATCTCTAGAGTTTAAGAGAATTATATGTTTTAGAGTTTTGAGTGTATGGGAGTTTCTTAACTTCCTATAGTTTTAGGAAACGATCTTCCTACTTCTAATGCAGCTTTCTCAATGAGGTTTGCCTTTTCGGTTGTTGTTGAAGTTTATGTGATTTGGTTGTCCTCTCAATCTCTCAGTTTTAGAATTCTTTTCGTGTAGTTTTTTTTTTTTTTAGAATCATCTTTTTCTATTTTTTAGATATTATCATCAAACATTTTTCTTTTCTTTTCTCTTAGGAATTTTAAAATATGTCTATTATTTTTCGAAGATATATTTCCGAACATATTATTTGTACATTCAATACAGACAGTTTTGAAAAGCACTCCATACATTTGATTAGATTTATTTTTGAAATATATCTTCGGAATATTTTAAGAAAAACATTTTAATTGTTCTGTTTAGTGAATATTCTGGGGATGCATCTCTAGAATTATGAACAGCATTTTGAAAATTTTTGTCACCTTTACATGTCAGGTATTTCCAGAGATATATTTTCAGAAATATATGATATAGCTTTCAGCTGCATGATCAGTCATCCATTGTTGCCATATTTCATTCTCACCACCCTCACTCTAAAAATCATTCATTCTCAATCAATTTTTTTACTCCCAATCATCATTCTTTTGGTTCATCATATCATAGGGAGCAAAAGAAGATTGAATTTCAGATAAAGATTCTTATTTTACCTCTGCATTGCTCACATTAATCATCCATTTTAGCAGAAAAACTTACGTTGTTTCCGGAAATGTATCTCCGGAACGTGCATGAACTTGTCCGAATATGCATTTTCGAAAAGTATTTGTGTTATTTTTTCCATCCATTATGCAGTAGTACATAAACTAATTTTGTGTTATTGTTTGCATTGTTTCCAATAGATATGGTGCATGTAACAGCCCGAATTTCATTAAATAATTAATTATGGTAATAATTGATTTAGTGGGATTTTTATTAATGTTGGAAACTAATTTTTATTAATTGGAAATTAATAGAGAATTGAGAGAGAAATGGGAAGGAAAGAAAATAAGGAAGTATATAAGGAAAGTAGAAGAGAAAAGAAAAGATAGTAAGGTAAAGGAAATAGAAGAGAAAGAAGAAGAGAAAGAGAGGGAAGAAGAGGAAAGTGTAAAATCATCAAGAACCAACATCAAAGCCCCAATTAATCGAGGTAAGGGTGAGAAACATTGTTATTTGATCATTGTATACTATTATGTATGTTGGGTTTGGATTGTGGGGTAGTTTCCATCCTTTTCCATTTAGGGCAAAGTTGGATGTAATCGGTAGAACTGTGATTTAATCGGTTAAAATCTGAAATAGATGATGTAGAATAGTCTAGAAATGTTAGACTAAGAGTATTGGAGTTGGATTGGTGAGATTTGGAGTTTTTGGAGTTGGTTGAGTTGGATAACAGTAAGTGAAAAACAAAATACGCAGACACTCGCTAGCAGCTCGCTAGGCGAGCAGGTCGCGAATACTCGCTAGGAGCTCGCTCAGCGAACAAGTAGCGAATGGTCCCAGACTTGGACAGAATGGATTTTGGTGTGTTCGCTGGTAGCGAAAGTGTAGCGAAGAGATAGCAAACGATTCGCTGGGAAGCTCGCTGTAGCGAGCAGGTAGCGAATGAAGTTAGTAACTTCTGTTGAGATTCGCTAGCACGTTCGCTAGGCGAACAAGTGGCGAATACTCGCTAAGAGTTCGCTTAGTGAAGGAGTAACGAGTATGACAGGTTGATGTTTTATTTGAGATTTATCCATAGGTTGATTGTGTGGTTCGATCATGGTTTATTGCTTGATTAATCGCATAGTTTATGTACTATTGTGATGATGTGTGTTGTGGGTAGCCTGCGGGCGTGAATCCTAGAATTGTGATTTGAATGTTAATTGCATCAAGTATAAATACATGTGAACATAATAGGTGATTATGTGTGTATTATTTAATGAACTTGTGAATGCTTGATGTGTATACAATTATGTGATGAGTGTGCATGAGAACATTGTGAATATGTGTGCATAACTTGTAATTGTATGATCGGTATTGGGATGTGAATACCTTGATTATTGTGATATATGTTGTATGTGCAATCATTGTGTAATTCTTGAAGAGATGAATTATTTGAATGCATAGATGTCGGTCTTAAGTGCATTTGTTGTGGTTGATTGTACATGCATCATTTAGTCAAGAGGCAATGTCTGTTAGTTTCATGGAAACTAGTGGCTTGTCCCAAACCTAGAAGAGTGGGTTTGAAGGCTTAGAGGACGGACATTTGTTGTTATCGGTCTAGAAGAGTGGACCCGGTTTAATGTAAAAACCGAAAAATGATAACGGGTTATCGGTCTAGAAGAGTGGACCCAGTTTAATGTAAAAACCGAAAAATGATAACGAGAGTCGGTACCGCATTGCATGAGTTGCATTGAGTTGTTGAGTCACATTGAAATATGACATATGCATGAAGAGATGCTTATATGTGAATGATAAATTGTGGAAATGTGAGTGTATGCATGATGTGGGAATGTTTTTGTGAATATTCATGTTGTCTATATATGTGTGGTAAATATATATGACTAAGAGGGTGAAGGGTGGTGAGAAATATGGAGTTGAATTATATGATTACCTATATATATATATATATATATATATATATATATATATATATATATATATATATATATATATATATATATATATATATATATATATATATATATATATATATATATATATATATATATATATATATATATATATATATATATATATATATAATCTTATGCTTTGATTATTATGGTAATATTTCTCACCCTTCTGCTGTTTTATAATGCTCTACGAGGCATTGCAGATTAGGTGCTGGAGTTTTTGTGAAGTTATCTTCATTCTTTTGAGTCTGCTGCTCTGATATGTAACACCGGGTAGTTAGACTAGTATAGTTATTCTTTTGTGATACATTGTGATGTATCAGCTGATGTGGTTTTGTAATTACCTGACATGATGTATCAATCTGGATATCTTATGTGTATGTGAATTAATATTTTGGAAATGATTTTATCTTCCGCTTAAATTTAAATGTTGAAATGTGATTTCTAAACCATGAAAATGCTACATATTTTATGGAGCAAATGTTAAAGTGTTTCATTGGTGAAATTGTGACATTCTTCCTTTATACCTTATTCTAAAATTTTCACTCTGATAAATTTTGTATATGCATTTATTTGGGGGTATAGAAGGGGGTGTTACAATAGTGGTATCAGAGTTGGTCGGTCCGTCCGGCCAAGTTGTTAGAGTGTTTTCCCTGTGTGTTATTGATATGCGTGTGTTGCATTATCAATATTGGTCGTTCTTACGTGGTTCTGTTGTTGGAATTAGTAAGATGGTTGCAGGAAGGAACGATGAAGCGATCGCAGAAGCTTTGACAAGGTTGGCGGGAGCGATTGGGCAGAATCCTCCGGCCAATGTGAATGCGGGGAATGTTGTTGAAGATGAATTCCGTGCTTTGGGGAGGTTTCAAAGGAACAATCCTCCGATTTTCAAGGGAACCCATGAGCCTGACAAAGCACAAATTTGGTTGAAAGCTATCGAGAAGATTTTTCGGGTTATGAATTGCTCAGATGCACAAAAGGTGCAGTTTGGGACTCACATGCTCGAAGAAGAAGCTGAAGATTGGTGGGGTAATACTCGCCAAAGATTTGAGGAAGAGGATATTGCGATCACTTGGGATCTGTTCAGAGAGACTTTTCTGGAGAAGTATTTTCCAGAGGATGTGAGAGGGAAGAAAGAGATTGAATTTCTTGAGTTAAAGCAAGGTAATTCGACGGTAGCGGAGTATGCGGCAAGATTTGAAGAGTTGATCAAATTTTGTCCTCATTACAATACTGCTAATGTCGAGAGGTCTAAGTACCTCAAGTTTGTGAACGGTTTGAGACCCGAGATTAGGCAAGCTATTGATACCAGGAAATCAGGCGGTTTTCTGAGTTAGTGAACAAGAGCAGAATCTATGATGAAGACAGTAGGGCTCGGTCTAGCCACTACAAGAGTTTAAGTGATAAGAAAGGAAAAGGTCAATTCAGAGGAAAACCTTATGTGACTCCTGCAGACAAAGGAAAGCAGGGAATGGGTTATGGCAAGAGGCCAAGTAGGGGAGTTTCTACTCTGGTTAGATGCTATAACTGTGGTGAAGCGGGACATCGTGCTCCCGAATGCAAAAGTGTTGAACAGAAGTGTTTCAAGTGTGGCAAGCCAGGCCACAAGGCTCTTGAGTGTAGAAGCGGTACCGGTGTGACTTGCTACAACTGTAGTGAAAAAGGGCACATTAGTACCAAGTGTGATAAGCCTAAGAAGAATCAAGGGAGCGGAAAAGTGTTCGCTCTATCTA